GGAAATATATGAATTGAAAAAAAAAAAAAATCACATTGCAGTAAGTTAATAGATATGACTTACGCCAGAAATCAGTATGAAAATTATGCAATAATGTCTATTTCGATTTAATGTTTAGTTCTCTTTATTTAATCAATCAACATTTTTTAAAACATGTTATGTGACTCAACCCGATAAATAAAAATGAGATGCATTAGGAAATATCATTTGAAATTCGTGGACCTCCAATTTTTTTTAATGTCATTTTGGCATTATCATCTATTAATAAAATAAATGTCGTTTTGGATATTTTATACACATTTTTCCATTGTTACCCTCATCTAGCTAATAAATACACCACATTTTTTCTTATTTACTCTTCATCTTTTCTCAAAACATTCATCTCTATCTTCATTATTGAGGGTTATAATTGCAAAAAAAATATTTTTAACAACTGTGCAAATTCTCAAAACGACATTTATTAAAAATACAAGGGAGTATCTTTCATATATCAAATCGCATAGAAAAATGGAATGAGAATCCCTACAAAAATTGGACAAAAAAAAAATTGGACAAAAAATGGCAACTAACAGATTTCACGGACTAAATGGCAACTAATTGATAATTTGATGATTTGAATTAAAAGAAAATCATAAAACTAATGAATTTTCAAATTTTTTAATTGGTTTCCAAAAAGGGGAAGTCAAGGGTATTGACCCCTTTTTTTCAACTTTTCACAAATGATTTTACTATCAACATCTTTCAATATATATAGCCCATAGATTATTCCTTTATGGATGTACAATTGCAATTTAACATTTACAATGTGATAAATTATTGCTTCTTATTTTTTAAGAGTCCTAGGCAATTTTCCAATATTGCAATTAATATATAAGGATTAAAGTTAATTAAATTACAATGAATGTTCAGATAATATATAAAATAATGTGAAAGTAAATTATCCTACAATTAATACAATAATTGATGCAAGTTTGAGAGGGAATTTCCAGCTTCTCTACTTTAATATATACATAGATCCTACAATTTACATATGAATTATTAAATTTATGACACAAATTATAAGAAATAATATAAGTTTTACAATTTTAAGAGATCATGACGAATTAACTGGTTGAAAAATTATTATTATTATTATTATTAGTATTACTATTATAGCAACTATTTATGGGATTTTACGGAGTTTTGGTTATGCCATTAAAATTATTAGCTAATTACAAAAAAAAAAAAAAAATTTAACGAGATGATAATTGTCGGGGGTATCCACGAGACAAGCTTTCGGCATAAGAATAACTATACGGGTCCATCGGAGCTCCTCAAGCGAATTACATCGGACAACAACAACAAACAACCCAAAGCACACGAGACCAATACAAGAAAAACGTAAAATACAAGAAACAAGACACAATATTTACAAAAACACAAACAACGAATAGCAAGAGAAATAGAAAATAAGAAAAGAATCAAGAGAAATACGCAAAATTAAGAAGTGTTTGTCCTGTTTTTGTTACTATTTTCTTTGATATTTTGTGTTTCGTTTCCCCCGTTTTAGGTCTTTTCTTTGGTCTTTTTGGTCCGTCTAGTCTTTTCTTATGCTTTTATCTTCATTTTAGGTTGTATAGTTTTTCTGTTGCTTTTTCCTCCTTTTTTCCCTGTTTTTCGTGTTTTTTCCGGTGGTGCGATTTCAGGTGTTGGGTTGATCGGATTGGCGAGCGTTCATTCAGATGAGAAGTGGATGGTTCGAGCATAATTTTGTGGGACCCAAGCATACGAGGATCGAATTCCCAGCTCGGGCAGTACCCGAGCGACGTAGCCGAGCAAGCAAACTGTAGAAAAAAGGGCAAAAATTTTGGACAACGGGACCTTAGCGCCGCTAAGGCCCCTGTATTAGCGGCGCTTTTGTATTATGCGCGTACTGAGACG